TTATTGGGGGAAATAAAACAAAAAAACAATGTGAACTCGTATAAGGATTCAACTTTATAAGCAACATAAGATAATTGCCAAATTATTATGTAGAAAGGTAAAGATAGCTTAGAATTTCAAATGCCATCCATGAAATTATTTGAATATAATAAAATGAAATCTTATCCAAAATACTGTCTTTAAAATTAATGTTTTATGATAATCTTCAATCATTAATAACAAAACTACTTTCTAAGCAGATGTCATAGAAGCATTAAGTCCAAGATCCTGGTGCACAGGACATGCTTCATCAGAGCCCAGTTGCTCTTACGTTAAGTGGAATCATTAAATTTCATTCAAATTGAAGATGCATTTATGGAACACATACTTTTGTTAGATCAGGATTTTCTAACACTGACACTAATGATACTAAGGCAAGACAATTATTTGTGAGCTGTCCTTCTAAGTGTGAAATGTTTAGCAGTATCTGATTCTATCCACACGATGCCACTAACACCAACAAACCAGCAGGTAGAATCAAAAATGTCTCAAGAGAACTCAGGAACAAAAGTAGCCATTGAGTTAGAACCACTATAGTACATGATGCAATAGGTTACCCAAGGATACAAACATGAAGATGGCATGATCTGTGCTAATATGCATATCAAAAATAGGACATAATAGCCATCTAGACTTTTTCTTAATGTAAGTGATTTCATCATTCCACATTGTTAATGTCATTCTTGCAGGTCTTTAACACCATTTTTTTTTTTTTTTTTTTGACAGGCAGAGTTAGAGAGAGAGAGAGACAGAAAGAAAGGTCTTCCTTCCGTTGGTTCACGGCTGGCGCGCTGTGCCGATCCGAAGCCAGGAGCCAGGTACTTCCTCCTGGTCTCCCGTGCAGGTGCAGGCCCCAAGCACTTGGGCCATCCTCTACTGCCTTCCCGGGCCGCAGCAGAGAGCTGTACTGGAAGAGGAGCAACCAGGACAGAATCCGGTGCCCCAACCGGGACTAGAATCCAGGGTACCAGCGCCGCAGGCGGAGGATTAGCCAAGTGAGCCGCGGCGCCGGCCCTCCAATACCATTGACTCCCTATTATTTATGCCACAAGAACCTAGAATGTTAAAAAGGATTCTGCCAATTTTCAATTCCTTTTATGTTTATGTATTTCTTTTTTCCCACTCTTTGATTTATAATGCTTACTATCACAACTTTGTATGGTATACTCAAATCTCCTACTTATCTCTGACTTTAGTATACCTTAGTATAACAGTTTAACAGAATTATCTCCCCAGTAAACCCAAATTCTAACTTTTGCTTCTATAAAAGTAGCTGAGAAAAAATAATCATTAAAACTGTTCTTATTTTAAATTGGAGGTTTCTGAAGAAGTCAAGCAGTTGTATTATTTATTTTCTCCTCAAATGGCCACAATGGCCAAGGCTGGGCCAGGCCAAAGCCAGGAGCCAGGAGCTTCATCCGAGTCTCCCACATGGGTGGCAGGGGTACAAATTCCTGGGCTTTCTTCTGCTGCTTTCGCAAACACATTAGCAGAGAGCTGGATTGGAAGTGGATGCAAACTGGTGATCACATGCGATCATATGGGATGGCAGTGTATAGGTGTTGGATTTACCCACTTGTGCTTAGATTATAGGAATAGCTTCCTAGCAGCTTCACTGCATTATCCCTTTACTTCCTATTTAAATGAATACTCTTAAATGCAGTTTCAAATTTGTAGTATCTCTATTTTCTACACATAGCCTTCCAATATTGTCCTTTTACTGTCAGCTTAAAGTCCAACATAATTAAAATTACCTAAAACACTTTATGTGGTTGTGTCCCATTGCTTCCCTTTCACGTGTCCTACACTGTCCATCTTGTTCCTTTTTGTTGTTGTTGCTGTTGGATGCTTTGCTTTGTGATCTTGGCATACTAGGTGAGCTGTCACTTGGGTACTTCCACTTGGATAATTCTACAGTCTGAAATGCTTCCTCTAGATTACCCACATGGACTCCTCCCTCTCATCCGTCAGGTCTTTCCTCACCTTTTCCAGGAAGTTTTCCTCGGCCATGTCACCCAGTTTTCTTCCTAAACCTTCCTTCCTTACTTCCTTGACTTTTTTCTTAGTATATGATATAATCTAAGTCCTAGTTTTTCATTTCCGTTATCTTCAATTATTCATGATTGTATTATCTATCTCAAACTAGCTCCCATTCAAACATGTTCTAATAAATTAGTATGAGCTTGTTTTTGGCAAGAAAAAAAAAAGAAATCCATGCATTTTTCTGTTATATGTCTTTCCATGAACTGACAGTGCTAGTGCAATTTTTTTAGTTTTGATTATTAATCAATAAAGTAATAAATTTGTAGTTTTGGTGTAATTCATCTCCCAAATTTAGATCAGGTAATTAACTCTGTCTTGAATTTCTCTATATGAGGTTGCCTTTAACCTTGTCTGTTTCAAAATTATGCAGTATACCCTAAAGAGCAGGAACAAAACTTGTCATTTTGTATTTCCAGAGTCCAAGAGGTTCTTTGCTATCTAGTTGTTGGTCGCATATATTGTTTCATATTTGTCAGTTACAGTTTTTATTTCGTTATTTCAGACAGATTTTTATTTAACAATAATGTTTCAGCATATATTGTACTCCACTTTTGTTACTGGAGAAATGGTAGAAGTGGAGGAGGAGAACAAATAGGGAGAGGGAAACCCAGTAAAGTATTACTGTAAATATACATTCATGAGTTACATCCTTAAGTTCACAATCGAATACCATACTTGTGACATAGCAGTAGCTCTCTGTTGATGTTTCCCTTGAAAATGAAAGATCATAGCATTTTCAAAAGTACTCAGGTTATAGAAAACAAAATATCTGCTTTACTATTAATAAACTGTCAAGACTTGATCTGGGCCACTGCTCTTCCAAAATGACTTACTATTTTTCCTGGAGTGTGAGACCATAAGTAACACAAAGAAGTTACTTCTGTGTTTATAGTTTAATGTTCCTCTTTCTCACTGTCATACATAATCCCCAGATATCCCGACTTGTTGAAGCAGGAAATAGTACCTGGAAAAATGTCTACACCTGGTGCTCAAACTTCAACACAGATGAGTTCATTTTAATTATAGATTATAAATGTGTATACTAGCATCTATAAATGTAACTTATCCAGTAGTTTGCTGTGATTTGGTACTGCCTTTGGTCATTTTTTGCCACTGGCCACGAATATCATAGATCTAATAACAGAGACTACTGATGTTGATTAAATGTGTGAGTGAAGCAAAAAGCTGGCAACAAAGTAAAAGAGAGACAGAAGAAGGAAAAACTAAGGAAGGAGATCATTAGCTGAATCCTCTTTGCAGTCTTTTCTGTTGATGGTGTACTAATACTGGATTTTGTTTTGCACAGGAAAAATCTGTGTGTATCTAGAATGCATGGAAATCACCTAGATAAAGAATAATTTAAAGGGGCTGGTGCTGTGGTGCAGTGGGTTAAAGTCCTGGCCTGAAGCACCGGCATCCCATATGGGTGCCGGTTCTAGTCCCGGCTGTTCCTCTTCTGATCCTGCTCTTTGCTATGGCCTGGGAAAGCAGTGGAAGATGGCCCAAGTCCTTGGGCCCCTGCACCCATGTGGGAGACCCAGAAGAAGCTCCTGGCTCCTGGCTTCGGATAGGCACAGCTCCGGTTGTTGCGACCATCTGGGAAGTGAACCAGTGGATGGAAGGCCTCTTTTTCTGTCTCTACCTCTCTTTGTAACTCTGTCCTTCAAATAAATAAAATAAATGTTTAAAAAGAAGGAATAATTTAAATTGAATTTAAACTGATTTATTTGCAAATAACAAAAGGTTTTTGTGTTGTCTCATATTCATATACTTCATAGAGGAAAAACTGTAATTTCCAATAGTACTCTTCAAATATAGCATAGTAAATTTACTTAACAAATATTGCTTACAAAAACTTGCAAAAAATTTCACCCATATATTCTATCAGTGAGATTGAATAAAATGGAAAATAATGAATATGTATATCTATTTTATGTGGTTTCTCCCACATTATATTCCATGAAGAATCACTGAAAATATTATTAAAATGTACTTTTCTGGTGCATTCCGAAGTTTCTGATTCAGCAGGTTGGGAAAAGGGAATTACAAGTTTCCATTTCTCATGGGCTTCTATTCAGATAGACCATACCATGAGTAGCAGTGGACTTGAATATGTAACATACCTAAAAATTAGAAGACATTTTCTGATATTCAGGTCTGAAAACATTACATTATACAACCAAATACCGATCAGGTTAACTTTATACATATTTGCTTAGGAATAGAGTGAAAATTGTATTTTCTTCTTAGCAAAATAATATCCTCTAATGGCTCCATTAACTTTATAGAGGCTCTATAGACACAAAAGAAGATTAAATTTCCAAACATAAGTATCTGGTTGCTGTGTGAGATATATACTACTAAGCTCATAGGATCATTAGATTTTAATTAGGAGAATTATTTTGAGTTAGAATACCAAAAAATTATTATCCACCATAAGCCTTGAATTTCCCTATGCCAAAAGTATAATGTAAGTAATAATTTTTGGAAAAAAAATGAAATAAATTATGATTGCAATGAGGTTATGCTAGTTATCCCTATTTAGTGAGAACAGGTAAAATGTTTGGTATCAAAATAAATATCACTTTTGGCATAGAGCTGTACCATACTATTGACATGCATTTATAGAAATAAACTAGATGTTGTTCTACAGAAATATTTTTATCAGTCCATCATGTCTTTGCTTGGTTTACTACAGCATGCATTTCCCATTTTCCTATTCACACATGCCCAGAATAACAGTGGGATTAACATATGATGGGACCACGGGTTTCCTGCTTTCTTTGTCCTGTACAGTCTTCTATTGTAAAATCACTTTGCTCAGTTTATTCTTTCATCTGTAAAGACAGATTTGGAGTGTTATTTCCCATTTCCAGAGATGACATCATGGCTGGCATTATCTAGAAAAGCAAATGTGAGTGTCGGTGTGTTTAAATACACCAGCTCTCTGGGGAGGCCCATCATCTCTCAAGGCCTCAGGTCACCTCCTCTGGCTCCTCATCTTGGGTAAAAGGTAACATACTTAAATGCACTCTTAAAGTATGGTTCAGTCTTACTTTTTCCTTGCTAAAATCAGTTTAAAATATGTTGTGGAAACATTTATTATCTATTTATAATGTTCATAAGAGTTTAAAGGTGTGGCCTATTTCAAATACTGAAGGTGAGTTCAAGATTTTAATTTCTCTAAATTGACCTCAGCAATCATTTTTCAGAGTAAATTACATGCAATCAGGAGGAGAGATTTTCCAAGTGTTTTGGTTGGTGGGAATTTCTAGAGCCTACTTATTTCCTTGATGAGGTATATGACATCTCACAATAGTTATTTTACACTTAACTTAAAAACTGAAGAACAAATTTGTAACAAAATAGCATAAATGCGCTTTTTTTGCGAATGTATATAATAGTCCAGAAATTTAAATAACGTCTTTAAACTTAACCTTATTCATAAAAGGAAATATTTACTGTTACCTTTTATGGTCCTTTTCATCCTTTAAAACCTGTTAGTTGTTTTACAAAGCTACCACTGTATAACAGATTTCTCTGTGTTGCTAATTATTTTGTATATTAATTTTTATTTCATGCATAATTTGCATAAAATAGTTTCTGTTTCCCTTTTAAACTGTTATTTTGTGTGTTAGGAAATATATTCTCAAATTCCTAAGGTGCATGTGATTATATTTACATCCCTCTATCTTTTTATCTTCATCCATTTATCTATCTATATCAGAAGATCATGTTAATACAAACTTTATTAATCTATTTGCAATAGAGAAATAATTAAAATTCTATTTCCGAAAGTAGTCACAACTATTTTCCCTGTAACTTCTTTTCAATTAGGTTTTTCTCTACTCAATATTATCAACATTGTTATTTTCAACAGAGAAACCTGGCTCATTTTCACTAATTTATTATAACCCAAATCACTTTCATTCTTCCTTCTACATATCTCTTCAGATTGTGCATTAATCACCTCTCCTAATGTCATTATGGAAATACCCTATAATGACAAATTCTGAGTACCCTGACACCAGTTTCGGCCTTGTTACATTTTGACTGATCTATTTGCACTGTCAACATTGTATTCGCTTATTCGCTTTTTGTTTTTTGAGAATTCCCCAAAATCTTCTTTTACTCATCCTGTATAATCCAAATTGTCAACCTTTACTTTCTTCTTTATCCTTTTAAAAATTATTTATTTATTTAAAAAATAAATTTATTTAAAAAAGTATTTATTTATTTGAAAGACAGAGTTACACACAGAGAGAGAGAGACAGACACACACACACACACACACACAGAGACAGAGAGAGACAGAGAGACAGAGAGAGATTGAAAGAAGGAGAAGTCTTCCATCCACTGGTTTACTTCCCAAATGGCTACAAAGGCCAAAACTGAGCTAGGGGAGGAGTGTAGAATTCCATCTGAGTCTTCCAAGTGGCTGGAAGCTGCCCAAGTATTCAGGGATTCTTCTGCTACATGACCAGGGCACATTATCAGGGATCTGGATAAGAAGTGAATCTGACAGGACTTGAACTGGAGCCCATATAGGATGCTAACATCACAGGTCGTGGCTTAGTCCATTATCAGATAATGCTGGCCCTTTTCTTTTATATCTTAATATGAGTACTGCCACTCTCTTCCTGTGTTTAAAATATCTTTTAGTGTGATTTTATATCACCTCGGAGCACTCACTTTTACTCATTACCACTTTTATCTGCTTCCCTTCTCAAAGTTCCATGAAGTTAGTCAGTGCATGTCATTTGTTTTGCAACATGGTGTGGTCAGTAAATGTTTCTGTGTGCATGCAGATGTGTGTGTGTTACTGACTTTCTCTGTTGCTTTTTCAGGATTCAGCCAAACATGAAGCTCCTTGTCTTTGCCTGTATCATGGCCCTCATGGTTTCCATGATTGTAAGTCCAGCCAAGAGAATTTTGGAGAATATGTTCTTAGCTCCTGTCCTAAGAGGTTTCCTTATACACCATGTTTTGACTTATACTTGTATTTCCCTGTTTATGGCTTTATAAATTTTAATGTCTTCTTAATTGACATTTTCTTTGACTTAACAAACATAGTAAGTTCATTAAATGCTTAGAATACATATTCAGTACACAATCAAGTGTGCTTTGCTTAAGAAAAAGTATAAATATTTTCCAAAGAGCTCTGTAAATAGATAGACCTAAAAATGATTAACAGTCCTTAAATATAAAATCTAAACTATCTGAATAGAAGTCTGAGGAAAGAACAAGCCCCATTAGAATAGAACCCATGTATTAGAAGATGTCAAAAAGGGGATTTTTCAACTCATTTCATTACAACATAGCTGTTCAATTTAGCATACAAACATTTCAGCCTCTATAAAGCAAAACTTGCTTTTTCTTAACATTACCAAAATTAGATCTACGTGTATTATAATTTACTATGGCATGTCACTAGATATAGCACTTGACCTCTTAGGATTTCATTCTTTTTCTTTTTCCTCTTCCTATTCTTTTTATCTTGTTGCTGGGAAATTCATTACAAAATAATAATAATAATATACTAAGTCATGCACAATATTGTAGTGCATGTCTTAAAAAACTAATCCATTATGAGTAATATTTTGTTATAAAAGAATGAAATGTGAAAAATTAAACTTTAGGAGGAAAAATAATATTGAATCAACAAGCAACTTAGATCTCTGAGTTCAGTAACTTTTGAGCTACTGAAAACACACCATAAAACTCTCCTAAATGCAGTGATAGCCTTTCTCCTCTCCCTTTCACACTTGAAGAATATACAAATTAAACTGAATTCATATTTCATTTAGAAAATTACATTTATAAAAATACTGACATCTTATATTTGATTATTCATTATACTCACATATATTTCTGTGGAACAGTGACATTTCTACTGTACTCATTGAACATTATGGTTAGTGGTACATTTAGCATGTGATTATAAGTAAATTGAAATTATGTTATGCAAAACTTGAAAAGAAGAAGGGGGAATGAGGGAAGGAAGAAAGGAGAAAAGCATGGTTACCTTCTGAGAATTGTATCTTTGAAATACATGAAATCTGTTCTCTTTATATTAATAAAGAGGAAAAATAAATGTATTATAACATCTATTATATGAAAAATACTATTATTCACTCATTTTTATGGTGTCATTACACAAAAATTGTGCTACTGAAAACTTGGCCTCCACTCTGTTTAGCCACAGTTATGATAAATAGTGCATTTTATACTCAATCTTGAAGTACAAACTTAAAATGTTAACTATTTGTTATTTTTTTCTTCCTAGAAAGCTGATTTTTCATCTGAAGAGGTAAAATACCTTAATTCATTGGGAAACATGATAATCAAAAATGTATTAAATTTTTAATCAGATCTTTTTTTTTACAGAGGCCTAATGGTTTTAGGATCAGACACAATGTAAGTATTTTCCCTGATAATTTTTTAACAGTTCAAATATATTTTCTTCTCTAAGTTTCTATAGTATGAGAAGAAGAATCAATACTTATCTATGAGAAGTATCTACATCATTTACAGCTGAAGTTCACATGGATTTCATATGTTTATGGTACACTGGAGAAAAGCATACATGTCTAGAATGTTAATTTAAATGGAAATCAACAATGCCACCAATAAGAAGTCAATTATTCTTTAAAAATTTAAGCATTTTCAGTTGACAAATAATGTAACAACAAAAAATGGCTGAAATTTAGTTGCTATTAATGTAAGCTACAACTAATGGAGCAAAAGCCTGCAGTTACACAGACAATATGCCAAGTGCCTCTCTTCTGATTTTTTGTGGGTGATGTCATTTGGTCGAACTGATTATGTTCAATATGATAGAAACTTTCATTTGTATAAAATTTTCTTAACAAGAGCTCTACTCAGTGCTTCACATTATTTTGACCTGGGATTTGTCTCCTTAGTAATTCAATAAAAGCGTGTGAATAAGACATGACAGTATAATTCAAAGCTGCAGAAGGAAAAGTGAAGGATATTAGGGTTAACAGAAATAAGTGTTAATGAACATAGGGATTTAAGACACATGAAGCTCATGGTAAGTCAAAGTGAAATGTAGTGACTCCATGTAAGTTTAAAGTGGAAAATTTCTCCTCTCTGTAATACTTAAGAATGGGAACTATTGTGACTTGAGGGCAATATAATAGAGAACATTGAAATTCCATTTTGAGTGGTTTGCTAGAACCAGGGACCCACATGTATTATAAAACTAATGAATTTGCAAGAAAAAAGTTATAATGTAAAATGCCTTATCATTTTTACCTTGTATGAATCATTTTGCTATAAAACTGTTAAAGCCTAGCTAAATGTTTGAAAACATAACCTGTTGAAACAATATATATTATATACAATATAATATATATTTATATATTATATATTTTATATATTTATATTATATATATTATATATTATATTTATATATATAAATAAAATATAAACTGAGAAACAATGATTTGATCAGCACTAGTCCTGACTGTCAAGGAACAACTTGATACTTTATCCCTTTTAGTATTTTTTTATTCTACTTAATACTATTGGTTGTATTGGTTGAACTCTTTAATTAACACACAATTATTCTTAGGTGTTTTAACTTAACTGAAGAGTGATCCCTGTTAAATATAAGAGTGGGAATAAGAGAGGAAGGAGATGTACAGCTTGGCACATGCTCAATAGGACTTGCCCCAAATGGTAGAGTCAGGGGGTTCCAATTCAATCCCATCAAGGTGGCATGTACCAATGCCATCTCACTAGTCAAAATGATCAGTTTCAGTTCATAATTGATCATAATGATAGGATTAAGAGTCAAAGGGATCACATAAACAAGACTAGTGTCTGCTAATACTAACTGATAGAATTAAAAAGGAGAGAATGATCCAACATGGGAAGCGGGATACACAGCAGACCCATAGAATGGCAGATGCCCTAAACAGCACTCTGGCCTCAGAATCAGCCCTTAAAGCATTCAGATCTGGCTAAAAAGCCCATGAGAGTATTTCAGGCATGGAAAGCCAAGACACTCTGGAAAAAAAAAAAAAAAAGAAAAAAAAAAGAAATGAAAGATCTCTGCAAGTGAGATCCCAGTGGAAAGAACGGGCCATCAAAGGAGGTACCTTTCTCTGAAGGGAGGAGAGAACTTCCACTTTGACTATGACCTTGTCTAAATAAGATCCGAGTTGGCAAACTCAAAAGGCTTCCATAGCCTTGGTTACTTATGACAAGAGCCTAGGGAGATTACTGACGCCATAAACAAGAGTGTCAAATTGTTAAATCAACAACAGGAGTCACTGTGCACTTACTCCCTATGTAGGATCTCTGTCCTTAATGTGTTATACTATGTGAATTAATGCTATAACTAGTACTCAAACAGTACTTTACTCTTTGTGTTTCTGTGTGGGTGCAAACTGTTGAAATCTTTACTTAATATATACTAAATTGATCTTCTGTATATAAAGATAATTGAAAATTAATCTTTATGTGAATGGGATGGGAGAGGGACCAGGAGATGGGAGGGTTGTGGGTGTGAGGGAAGTTATAGGGGGGGAAAAGTCACTGTAATCCAAAAGCTATAGTTTGGAAATTTATATTTATTAAATAAAAGTTATAAAAAGAAATATAATCATAGCAATAATATATAAGATCCCATCAGCTTTAACAATCTACACTTTCAATGACAATGACTGAAATCTGTACACTGTCATTCAGTTCTTTATAATTTTCTTTCTCTTTTTTGTATTTTAGAGACATCGTCACCATCATCAAAGATATATACAAGAGCCATCATATCCACAAAATGCTCCAATTGACTATCCAAATAATCCAAATGGCTATGGCTATCCAAATGGTCCTTACCCTCCTGCTCAGTAACCATAAGACATGGCATCACAGGTAAACTCATCTAGTGACAGGATTTAGTTTCCAGAAGTGCCAATGCCAACAGTTAAAAGACAGAAACAAAAGCAAGCCATCAAACCAAGGACACCCCAGTTTGAGAAGTGTGGCCTAGCACAGCATTTGTGAAGTGTATTTATTTATACAATGGTTGTCAGGAGAAAGCTCTGCTCTGCTGGATTTAAGAGGCTGGGCTCAGTGTATATGTCCTGTCCCTGACCCCGACTGCTACTAGTTTCAAGATATTGAACTTTCTATAATTTCAATAAACCTCAATTTATTATTGACAACCTAAATTTTTTATAATATGTAACCACTTCACAGAATCGATGTAACTGTTAAAAGGCATATTACATGATGTCCAGGTTCACAATTGTGGTATTTATGACTGCAGACCACACTACCACTGCATTTGTTCCTCAGAGTTACTTAAAACTTTTCCTCCTAAAATGTATGTTTTCATAAATCTTTCAATTTGCTATTTAACTTCTTTCTCTTTGAGATATTTAAAAGTTTTTTGAATAGCAATCATTATCACTATGCATATTTATGAAATATAGTAAGACATTATGAACCCTTAGAGTAAGAGTGTACCCATATAGTAAGAGTGATTTTTGATGAAATAGATATAGCACAATGTTATTTTAGATAAACTTTTAAAATAATATCGATTTTCAGAATTTTCAATTTATTTTTTTTGTTTTTAACATTTAACAATTTTTAACATTTTGCCATATTCTTGTCAAATGTTGTTATGTACATACTTCCAAGTACTTGGAATCCTGCCACCTATATGAGAGACCCTGATAGATTTTCTAGGTCCTGAATTCAGTCTGGCCCAGCTCTGCCTATTGCATTCATTTTCAGAGTGAATAGGTGGTTGGGAGATCTCTCTGTAGCTCTCTCTGCCATTCTGAGTTTCAATAAACAAATGTTTAGAAGAAAAATGTCAGTTTTACCTATTTATACATATTAAAAGCTCCAAATTTGTTCAAAGATCAAATATTTTACTACAAAACACAGCAATATTTTCAGGGATAGAAGAAAGTTGAAATTTTCCTAGAATTTCAGTTATTTTCAAATGCATGTAGAGATTCTATGCCAAATAAATTCCTGCTATCCCCATGATATGCAAGCGTTTAAACTCGATCTTGTTCATTAAAGAGCAGATATTTTATCATGGAAGGATATGTTAAAAATATTACTTTGAGGGTCAGTGTTTGGTCTTGCAGTTAAGACTACATCTTTCATTCGGGTGCACCTGAGTTTGATACTGGGCCCTGGCTCCTAACTTTGGTTTGGGCTTGGTCCTATCCTGGCCATTGTGAGCCTTTGCAAAGTAAACTAGCAAATGAGAGTGCTGTCACCCTCTTATCTCTCATTCACTTTCTCTATTTCTCTCTCTCCCTCATAAATAAATAAATAAATATTTAAAATTACATTTGGGAAACATATCAATGAAATGTATGGCCTACATTAAAGGGAAAATGAAATACATTGATAATTTAAATGAATCTAAATTTAAATGAAATTTAAGTTTAATTTGCAGATTTCAGATATTATTTTCCTTTATTCACATAACTTATTAAAAATTATTCAATTTTCTACTTTGTGCCAGATACTATTTGAGTCATTGAACTGTATTAATTAAAACTAGCTGTAAATATTTCTTGTACAGCAGGCTGAAATATATATATATGTGTGTGTGTGTGTGTATATGTATAAAATTACAAGACTATAAATTTTAGAGTAACTATGTGCCTTTATTTTTCTGTACAGGTATGACTGGAAAGTCTGATTTCTACTTGTGTTTCCTTCATGTCTCATGTTACATCTTACTATCCCTTTGTTTGGAAGAATCATCAAGAGGACAATTAGGAACAGAAGAAGGACTCTAGTTTAGTATAATCTCTGTGTTTCTTCACACTTGCCTTCCCAGTTGATGACTGGTAACAAGACTGCGATTTCAAACTATTCTGCTTTTTTCACTGCTATTGTAATGTCATAGAAATCCTTTTTACTGGCAATAAATCATGTGCATTCTCATTTACATAGTCCTTATTTTTATTTCTTAAATTTACAGACTAAGTTGATATCACTATTATTTAACCAACCCTCTTCCCAGGATGGTGACACTAAAGCAAGTTTAAGTGAAACTTCCATTGAAATCAGTTTATTCTAGTATAGTCTGTAATATTTCATTTCCCACAGATGCCAGTCCTCAAACTTAGCCTGATCGTCTCACCCATTTAGATTGACATTTGAGTTGCCCCTGCTTTCACTGACCACAGAGCACACCCTAAATATTCAATCGCCCTCATAAACTAGCTCAGCATCTGCAAGCCAGACATAATCCCAAGGCCACTCCACTGCAGTCACAGGCTATGGGAACAAAAGCCTTCCAAAGACCATCGCCAGCGATGCAGCGATGGCTTTCATCCAAATGTATGCAATCATTGACAACAGCTGACAAGCACTGTTCCAGATCCTACAGGTACAATAGGGTATAAGGTAAAACTCATGCCTTCATGCAGTTTTCACTTAATTAAAAGGCACAGAGAAGTAAACCAATAACGCATCATACATCAGGCAGTGATAGGTGAGCTTACCAAGTCAAAGTAGGGTAGGTGCAGGTATACAAAGGCAATTTTAAATATGGAATGGTAGGGGGCTGGCGCTATGGTACAGTGGGTTAAAGCTCCAGCCTGTGGCACCCGGCATCCTACATGGGCGCCAATTCGAGTCCTGGCTGCTCCATTTCTGATCCAGCTCTCTCCTATGGCCTGAGAAAGCAGTAGAAGTTGGACCAACTCCTTGGGCCCCTGCACCCACGTGGGAGACCCAAAAGAGGCTCCTGGCTCCTGGATTTGGATCAGCATAGCTGCGGCCATCGTGGTCATTTGGGGAGTAAACCAGCGGAATGGAAAACCTCCCTATCTCTCTCTGGCTCTATCTCTCTCTGTAACTCTTTCAACTAAATAAAATAAATCTTTAAATTAAATTAAATAGAATGGTCAAGCATAACCACAGTTCTAGTGAATGTTTACAAAAGATAGGAAGTTTAGTGTGCTAGTGAGCATGGAAAAAGAAACTCTCAGGCAGAACAAGTGCAAGGGTCTTCCATCTAGCAACTCAAATGGACTAAGGTTTAATTTTCCTTTGTAGGCTGTTTCAACACGGGTTAAAGTGATGAGTAAGAACTTTCCCCAGTTTTCGTGAGATTCCTGGCAAAGTCCCATTGTTCATTTCACTCTTTCCAGATGACTGTGGCCCTCAGCAGCATGCAATTTTTTTTGACAGAAAGAGTTAGACAGTGAGAGAAAGAGACAGAGAGAAAGGTCTTCCTTTTTCCATTGGTTCACCCCCCAAATAGCCACTATGGCCAGCACGCTGCGGCCGGTGCACTGCGCGATCCGAAGCCAGGAGCCAGGTGCTTCCTCCTGCTCTCCCATGCGGGTGCAGGGCCCAAGGACCTGGGCCATCCTCCACTGCACTCCCGGGCCACAGCAGAGAGCTGGACTGGAAGAGGAGCAACCGGGACAGAACCGGCGCCCTAAACGGGACTAGAACCCAGGGTGCTAGTGCCACAGGCAGAGGATTAGCCTAGTGAGCCGCAGTGCCGGCCATGCAGCATGCAATTTTTAACTTACCCCAAAACCTGGAGCACTCCAGTCAACACCTTTGAAGCCAAAGCTTTCTGTTACCACTTTGTACAGTCCTAGGCAAATCAGATCTCCAGATAATTTCTCTTCAACATCTTAATGACTTCTTAAGAATTTTCAGTTCAGTCTGGGAAGATTTCTACAAATGCAGTGTAAGAAGCTATGGGCTTGGCAAATTTTTTACACTTCTGGTACTATAGGTGTAACTATGAACTTGACCTGAAAATATTATCAGGGCAAAAGACCTCTTACCCATGCTAATCTGCTAAGGAGGGGTATGAGATGCCTGTTCTACTTTCTATTTCAAAGCAGTATGTCTTGCTAAGCCATTTTCTCTACCAATCCCTTCACCCATGAGGTTTTGATTACATTAAGAAAGCAGATGTCCATTTTCTCTTTACCTTATGAATAGAATCCTTTCTTTTAAAAAAGCATTTATTTATTTATTTGATAGGTAAAATTACAGAGAGAGAGAGAGACAAAGGTGTTCCATCCACTGGTTCACTCCCTACACGGCCGCAACAGCCGGAATTGGTCCGATCTGAAGCCAAGAGTCAGGAGCTTCTTCCAGGTTTCCCACAAAGGTGAAAGGACCAATTTACTTGGGATCCTTTACTGCTTTCCCAGGCCAAAGCAGAGAGTTTGATCAGAAGAGGAGTAGCCAGGACTTGAACCGGTGCCATATGGGATGCCATCGCTGCAGGTTGAGGCTTAGCCTACTATGCCACAGCTTCAGCTCCAGGTGTAAAATCTTATGAATACTTGCCAGCAACCCAGCCCAGTCTTGGATATCCACACATTTCCTCATTTGTGTACTCCTGAGTCTGAGGTCCTTTGACAATTCTCTTGTTGTGGCTCCTGTAAGACTTCACATCAAACTCACAAAATGTCATTGGAGGTGGCTGTGGTGAATAGAGAGCCCACTGTCATGATAGCTTCCTTGCAGCAGCAGCAGCTGGGTTGTTCCCTCTCATTACTTCAGAATCTCCCTTTTGGTGTCCTATGCAGTGTATAAAAGCTAAAGCTATAAATATTTCTTCAACCTGGAATAGCCTGAGACTTTTTAAATTTTTTTTTATTCATTTGTTTGACAGGTAGAGTTACAGACAGTGAGAGAGAGACACAGAGAGAAAGGTCTTCCATCCAATGGTTCAACCCCCAAATGGCCGCAATGGCCAGCGCTGTGCCGATCCAAAGCCAGGAGCCAGGTGCTTCCTCCTGGTCTCCCATGCAAGCAAAGGGGCCCAAGCACCTGGGCCATCCTCCACTGCTTTCCTGGGCCACAGCAGAGATCTGGACTGGAAGAGGGGCAACCAGGACTAGAACAAGGTGCCCATATAGGATGCTGGCACCGCAGGCGGAGGATTAACCTAGTGTGCCATGGCTCTGGCCCCTAGCCCGAGACTTTATTTATCATATTAATTTCTTTGTTGCTAGCATTTAAGAGCTCTCTTCATTTCCAGGTGGCTCCCTGAGCATGAAGCAGGTAGAAGGCATACCTGGAGTCTGTGTAGATATTAGTCTTTCCTGTGACCAGTTCTGTCGGGCGCACTGGTCAGGGCTATTATTTCTGCCTTTGTGCAGATGCCCCAAGAAACACTCTTAGCGTTGACAGTTCCAATTGCATATCCTGGCCTCCACTGACAATTTAACATAAAACTATTACTATCTACAAACATCTTACTTCCATGTTAGATGCAGGTTCACATCTGAAATTTTGCTACTAGAATACACCAGGTCTATCACTTCAGAGAAATCATGTGTTTGGGGTCCAGAAACACTGGCAGTAACACCACAGAGTTCAGGGATCTAGCACTCCTTTAGAGTGATGCTTTGCAGGATAAATTACCAATGATGGATACCACATCACGGGGCCATTAGTACAACAAATTGGTTCTCTTTTGCTCCCAGCATACCTGACTCCCAGTGTGGGGGCCAGTCATTTAGGGGTTGTCTTAACATTAGCTCTTCTGTTTCTGTTTTTCTACTCAAAAAACAGGTGAGTGCAATTATTTACAGATAGGGTGGCCATCCTTGGGATACATTATCTGTTTAGAAAACTAAGCCATAACTCATTTTAATGGTGCCACAATTTAGATCAGACCACTCCACTGTGATTCTCTGTCTTCTGTGTACATACCTGTCAAAGGACTTTTCTAGATCAATTAGTTCTAAATGAATGGCATTCAGCAGAATTCTTTCAGTCTATTAAAACCCTGAATAAAACACTGGCGCTGTGGCATAGTGGGTAAAGCTGCTGCCTGCAGTGCCGGCATTCTATATGAGTGCCGGTTTAAGACTCAGCTGTTCTACTTCAGATCCAGCTCTCTGCTATGGTCTGGGAAAGCAGCAGAAGATGGCCCAAGTGCTTGGGCCCCTATACCTGTGAGGGAGACCTGGAAGAAGCTCCTGGCTCCTGGTTTTAGATCGTTACAGCTCTGGCCGTTGTAGCCATTTGGGGAGTGAACCAGCAGATGGAAGACCTCTCTCTCTCTCTCTCTCTCTCTCTCTCTCTTTCTGTCTCTCTCTCTCTCTTTCTCTCTCTCTGCCTCTCCTTCTCTCTTTGTGTAACTCTGACTTTCAAATAAATAAATAAATCTTTTTTTTAAAAAAAAAGCCTGATTGTATTGTTTATCCCATTACAAAGTGTCAGTTTCTTCTCCTTTTTATAGGCCTTTGAGGAGTTCTGCCATTCTAAAAAAATCAAATATTCACATCTAGCAGAAGCCAGCCATTCCCAAAAACCTCATAATTATTTCCTGATCTTGGGTGGAATCAAGTTACAGACTGCTAATTTGTAGTACTGGGGTTGAGCTGTTGTCCTTAGGTTATTACAAAGCCTGCACACCTCTCAATTTTTTTGTAAATTTATGCCTTTTCTTTTGATATGTTATATCCTTCCCCTGTGAGGTTATTTGACTTTTGTAACAGTGCTATTATCCAAAGTCTCCTTTGAACTGCCAGCGATAGCAACATCACCCACAATATTATAACACTGTTTCCTCCTTTATGTCACCTTTCCAGGCCTCTATTCAAAATTTCCCTCAAAGTGGTAGGAGAGTTTTTAAGTTCTTCTGGTAAAAATTGTCTAACTATATTAATTATCTGGTGAGTTTTGGGGTCCTTCTTTTCAGTTATTTGGGTTCCAGTTACAACGGAATGCAAAAGAATGCATCTTTAAGCACTGAGACAGTATTGTACTGGCTATCCTCTGGGCAATGAAGTGTAGAGATTGACTATTGATGGGATAGATACACTGTTTCATTCATAGCTCTTAATCTGATATAAACCTATATCAAGTGACCCAAGTTTCTTAACAGGTATCTCAGTAGTGTTAC